TAAATGATTATTAAATATCATACAAACCACACATTTTGGCAACTAATAATAACTGTGAAGTAGGATTGGATCCGATCAGGTGCATTTGCTTGAATCTCTGCCTGAGCTGTGAGGAGCCAGATTTACTGTGATGCGATCAGATCAGATGCGTGACTGGAGTGACTTTATGGCACTAGAACTTTTTGTTGGCTCACTTTGACGTCACTGATTAGTACACAGGAGGAAAGAATCACTATGGCTGTGGGACTAATAAAGAAGTACACACTCTGCTTACACACACACATACACACACAGGCATTGTGCCTATAGCACCACCGGTGTCTGAGGGGTGGAAGTGCAATAAAAGCAGCTACTGTATGTGAATCTCATATTAAAGTGTAACTTAGCCGATTTTCAACCTGATTTGTATTGTTACAATGGGGGGCTTCGAGGGGTGGGCTTCGAACACCCCTTTTACTGTCCATGCAAACACCCTATGTATGCGGGTAATTTCTGTTTGATGCTAATTTTTATCTTATTTTGTTTATTAAGTAACGATGTGGCGGTAGAACGTGTGACAGACAGTTAGGCTACACGAGTTCGATTTGGGAATAAAGTGCGTCTGTGTGTCTGTCTGGCCTCTGCATGCAATAACTTCAGTTGTGAGATATCCCTAATCTTCCTGAAGCAACGCGTTACAAACTGTACTAGGCCTACAGTTTCATTGCGGGTTCACCACCTTCACCTGCCATCATGTCTATCGGCTCGCTTTCGGGTTAAACTTTCCGCGACTGCGCAACTGGGTTATAGGTTGCCAGGTTGAGGTGACAAATGGGTTGAAATTGTAAATGGTCTGTGGATTGTGTGAATATAGTGCATTTAATACAATCTGGCAACTGGTCAACATCAGACAAACATATTGGTCCGATTATTCATAAAGGAGTTTGGGCCATGCAAATTACGGGAGTTTCCCGGGAAAAATAACCAACCGGGAGGGGTCCGGGAGATAGGGCTAAAAAACGGGAGAAAACCCGGGAAAAACGGGAGTGTTGACAGGTATGAGATATTCACCTTTATTTGTCAGCAAAAGTCTGCCGAAAGCATCTTTTGATAGCTCAAGGGCTTTTGTAAAAACTACAGATTATACTTCCGCATTTTTGTGTCCACGCCCACGGACAGTCGGATCGACAGAGGGTTATTAACAGAACAGTTATTGCAAGGGTAGATTTATCACTGAAAATGGTTTCATACTTGTATCTACTCTTTAAATAACATTATGGTAAAAAATAGAACACTATGGCAACAGCTTTCTTGTACAAGACGACGTTTTGCTTCGGGAGGTTGGGCATAACTGACAGAACAGCAGGTTCTTTCAGTTTCCCCCTCCGTTAGGCCTACAGCACTGTGTTCACAGTCATCCAGTTTGAATTGTTGACAGGTTTTTCAGATTTTCAGTCATGGTGTTCTCTAGATATTTATGATTCATTGCAGCCTTTAGCCTCTGCATTCTTCACTGGAAAACGAAAGTAACTCACTCCAGCTACACGTTTACTCTTTTAATTCTTGCACCCGGGAACAATACAAGTCGACACCATTATGACTAAAAGTTTACTAAGAAGTATTTCCTACTAAAGTAAGGTGGTATTTGACTCTGGTAAGCAGTGGGAGTGGCCTTGGACGGCAACATGCCCAGTGCATTATGGGTGTTGACGTTTTCCAATACATATTTGGCAAAAGGAAAGACAAAAGCCTTTTTTCTTTGTTTTCTCCAGTCAGATAGCACAGATAAAAAAATAATAATAATAACCTTTCTGCTTCCTAGGCAGCCAAGATTTATTGAAAGGCCATTTTGCCAGCGGTGAATTATCCTTTTAATCAACACATCCCAGCTCTTCTGCACACGCCATATGTGTTTCTCTCACAGTAACACACACATTCACACATTCAATTTGGGACAGGGCTTTAGACATTGGCTATTTTCAGAATAGCATACTAGCATACTACTTTTATCATTTGTGCAGTATATATTATGTATACTATGTACAGTATGCACATTTTCTGTATGGAAATAACTACCTTCATAAGGCATATATTCAGAAGAAGTTATTACATTGCTTGTAATTAGATTGTAAAGTGAATCAGACCACTTTAAAAATATGATTGATAATGCTAAATAAAATCCAGTGTGATATGAATTAACACACACGCATATTATTGTGTTTTCTTTCCTTAAAAAGTAACTGAATATGTAAAGGCATTATTATTATTTTTTATCTTTTGTCTGCGTTATCTTTTTTTTAATACAGGCATTTTTGTTTTATAAATTACAAGAAGAAATTATAACAAAAAAAAATCAGATGTTTCAAATTATTATGGAATTTTTATGGGTGTGAAATTATTTATTGTCATCAGGAAAAAGCGTCCGTAAATACTTGCATAGCATATCAGCAAATGTGTTCGGGAATGTATAATTCCTATTTACATAATTATTCAAAGACTTTCCTGTAACAATAACATTGTTTTGGTCAGTTGCCATGGATTTCGTCAGAGTTGGTCCATTCTCCACAGTCACGAGCATTGCAGGCTGTTCTCTTAATCTGTGACTCGTGAGGGAAGGAGTTGTGTTCATGACAGTCTGTCAACATCCGCTTATAAAAGAGGACAAAACATATGACGTCAGTTTGAGAACCTCTGCCACAATGCATTGCGCATTTGCAGCAATAATGTTGAACATCTCTTCCATGACTCATACTGCTAAAGTTAGGCAAATCCTTATAAAAATGTTAGTATTTTCTCTTAACAGAACACCTTTCAATTAAACATGCAATATAATGAGGTCATGTGACAACAATGTAGTATACCACTGTTTGAAATGTTGGTTACACTATTTTAAGGTGCCTTTGTTACAGTGTAATTATACATTACTTAAAGACCCACTCCGATGAAAATAATGTTTTTCTAGGTGTTAACATGTTCTTGTGGCATTTTTCTGATGTTAGAGGACATATCTTGAGAAAAATAAGCTCAAAGTTGTATTTCTGAGTATTTCTACATTCAAATGGCTGTGAATCAGTAGCAGACGCTAAAATGCCGGCTAAAATAGACTGGAGTTGTGACGTAGTAACTCCACTGGGCGTCTCCACACGCGACGTCTTGGAGTGAAATAATGATCGGTGATCGGTGATAACTTTGATTAACTTCGGATAATAATAATTAACGTGTATATAATACTGTTGCCCCACCGGTATTGGGGGTGTAAGCTAGCGGGAGAGACAGAGCTCTCAGCGATGGGCAGGGGGAGGGTCGTCTCCGTGCCAACGGCTCCGCCCACAACGCAGAGGCGAATTGCTAATGAGCTACTGCCGCTCTGCTGAAGCGAAGTCCCAGAAAACGGCACATGTTTTGTGATTTTGGCTAAAAATGGCATAATCATAATTTAAAGACCACTGGGAATGTTTAAAAATAGCTCAAAATATGATCGGAGTGGGACTTTAAGTACTATAAATTAGCTGTATGTACTTACATGCAGGTTTAGGGTTAGTTGCATGTAATTATGCTAAATATATAGTTATCACTGTAGTATCTACATGTAACATGTGTAACAAGGACACTGACTGTAAAATAAAGTGTTACCGAAACGTTTGCATAATAAAAAAGTGGATGCTGCACACTGGTGGTGGTTGAGGGGTATGATATGATTGTAATGCGTTTCGGGTGTAACAGTAGGAATGCGCTATATAAATGCCTCATTCGTTTATTCATTCATTTATAATTCATTTATAATTTTTAATGGGCAGTATGCAGTATAAACTGTGCAGTATCGAGCCAGCATTAATTAGTAAACCATTCAAAGTAGTCTTAACCAACTGTGATATCCTTGAGTTTTTATTGTAATTCGACACATTCCAATGTTTTAAAATAAGAAAATAACTAGATTCTAAAATGATGACTGGACATGCAACATAATGAGAACATGTATTGTAGCGTACTGGTTAAAATATTTATTGCATATATAAAATATTTATTTTTATAACGTTTTTGCACTAGGCCTATATTGTTGCAAAACTATATGTGTATAGTTTTTTATTAATATTTAAAAAATAATAATTTGCTACACATTTTGTTAAATTGCATATGTAAAGTATGTATTGCATACTGCATGCAGTTTCACATACTGTTTTCAAAGATATGCATGCTAGTATCCCCGCCTCTCTCTCTATATATATATATATATATCTGTCACTCCTGACTGTTTCCCTCTGACTATCTCCGTCTGGCTCTTTGTCCGGGCATTTGAATCCCGGATTCCCCGTGTCTCTGGCTGCAGAGATCCAGATGTGATGTGCTGCTGTTTTCAGCATGCGGTTTGATTCTGCGTGACTCTGACACACTGCAGAAAATCTAAAACCTCTGCGTGGCTGCGAGCCAGCGATGCCTGCGAGAACATCCTCCCATCTGCCATGTGTATTTGGCAGTGTGTGTGTCTCACTCTAGTTTATATACAGAATGATACAGTGTTTTGTGGAACAGTGTGTGTGTGTGGCTGCAGTTTCAGTTCTGTTGCCATGTTGGAGAAATATGTAGCAGTGTTGTAGACAGCAATACAGGAATGATTGTGATACTCTGATGTTAATCGAAGAGTTCATCCAAAAATGCTGTTGTTATTTTTTCACCCTTATGATACTTAATGCTTTATTGAAGCTTGAAAGCTTCAGTTTACATGGAAGAAAGAATGTGTTTGGACTGACATGAGGGTGAATAAATGATGACAGAATTGTAAAGTTCGGGTGAACTGTTGCTTTAAGTTACTCTAGTTTGAAATATAGCATGGGACAGTTAAAGTGTCATTGCATACTTGTGTTTCACATGGTATTTATTGAAAAGTAGTATACAGTAATACTGTGCAGTTTGTTCATATTTCCTTCTGAACATTGAGACATTTTTCACAATGTCAACTAATGTATGATGCTCATCTCTGACTTTCTGTGTGTGTGTGTGTGTGTGTCCGTATGTTTCTATAGTAACCACCACCTTGTCTCCGGGCTCAAGTCATGCCAGGAAGTGCAATGAAACTGAGAAGATATACTGCGTTAACGGTGGAGACTGTTATTTCATACATGGTATTAATCAGCTGTCCTGCAAGTAAGTTACACACATTCATAACACATTCCTTTTATCTGATCTCACTTTGATAATACCTACTACAAACAGAGTGTTTATTGAAACATTGCTTTGACTTTTGAAAATTAATTGAATGCCCCCTGACCTACAGTATACGTAAATACAGTTTTCCTGCAATCAGAGCAGTTATTTTTCTATAAATGATATACTATTCAATTATGTATTAATATTTTAAAATAAAATAAAACATATTTTTTAAATTCTACATTTTTAAATAAGTTTAGGTATAATGTTGTTGTGTGCTTTTGTCATTTTTATTAGTTTTTTTTTATATACTTTATTTTTTATTTCAGTTTTAGTACTTTTAGTACTTCAATTTAAACATAATTCAGTTTTTATTGTAGGTTTTAATTTGTATCTAAGTTTCGTAAGTTTTTATTCTAATATTTATATTTCATTTTAGCATTATTTCAATTACAGAAAACTACGATTTTTAATAGTTTTACCCAACACTAGCAACACTGAGAAATTCAACAATCACCTTCTGTATATTGTGTGTAATATGATTATGGGTCATTTGTACTGATAAATCAAATGCGTTAAAGGAATAGTAAAACTATCCCATAATTCACTCTCCCTCAAGCCAGTTCCTGGCTCTTCCCAGCTTTGAAATGGCATTGAATAGATTTAAAAGTAAAAGTAATCCATACGACTCCAGTGGGTTAATAAATGCCTTCTGAATTGAAACGATGGGGTTTTGTAAGAAAAATATCCATATTTAAAACTATAAACTACAATCACTGGCTTGGATGGCTTGAGGGTGAGTAAATTATGGCATAATTCATTTTTTTAGGTGAACTATTCCTTTAAGAAGTACACTAAACAGCAGTTATATACATGTATTTGAATTTCATTCCATTTTACTTCCTTTAAACTCAAATTGAAAACTCCAGTTTTACATTCTGGTTGCTGGCTCAATTCAAATTCAGGAATTTAAAAAACCTTTTCTTAATGTCTACATGGTGCGGCGTAGGATCCTGAAACTGTGTAAGTTATAATTGTTTGGACCTTTGCTGGGAAAGAAATGTAGAGACTCTTGTAACTTAAATTGAATACTGCTGGTCTAGTTCGAGCCAGAGAAATGAAAGTGTGTGTGTGAAGGTCTGGAGGAAGGGGAAAGGGTTTGCCGTGTGTGTCGTCTGTCAGGTCTGTCGATGTATACTGCCGCGTTATCAATAGTGCGCTGAGTTACTGCTCCCCTGTGATGCCATGGACACGACGCTCCGTTCTTATCAGCCGTTTCAGACAGGGCAGCTCAGATTTACGGTGTGTGCGGCAATTTTTTACAGGAAGAGAAACAAAGCCATTAAAGCTGTTTAAAGCTCAAACCCTTGGGGGAGATGTCATCCTTTAACTGTGACTCGTCGAGTCGATCTCTTTAATTTACAGAACAGAGTGTCTGAAGCTGCTTTAAGGGTTAATGGCCCGCAGGGAAGCACGGACTGATTTGGAAATAGTGTGTGTTGCTCTTGGCTTTCTTGACTGCTTGACACAGTGATTCACTTATATGCCGGAAAGTTTGTCTTCAACAGCGCTAAAGCTTTACTTCAGAGTACAGGTGGGCGGTATGAAAATCTAAATCTTTTACCACGGTATAAGACATGTTATATCATGGTAACAGTATCACAGTAGTTATTTTTGGTGGAGATTCAGTGAAGTAAATCATTAGGGTAAATATGTAATTAAAATGCTTTATACAGCTCTCAAATATATATACATATATAACAGTCTACCAGTATATTTTTCAATTATATAGTGCAGTATTTTAATTATATATTTATATATCAAATATAAACATTAAAAAGGCATAAAATAAGTTATATATAAATATATAAGCAAAATAAACTGAAAGGAAAAATCTGGGGGGAATTAATGATATAGAAAACAAAATAAAGTACAGTAATATATGATTAAAATGCTTTATACAGCTCTTAAATATTTACACAGCCTATTTACACATTACACAGCCTGGCTTTAAGGTCCTTGCACACTTACAAACCTTGCGTTTTTTCGTATTCGTCATTCAGTCTCTGAATTGTCAAAACACCTCTCAAAATGCTTGCTACGGATGCGAAAAGCACAGAAAATCGAACCTGATCTGAATTTTTTTATGACGGACGAAAGTTTCGGAGGCAGTGTGTAAGCGTGATTGACATAACTGTCATATTTATTTTTTAACGTGCGAAAATTTCGGACGAGGACTTGAATATTGAATTTGGGCAGAATTATAATAAAGTTAATTAAAACTCTTTGTTTACCTTTTTTAGGATAATCAGTGGAGCCAAAAAAAAAACATTTTCCCACAGGAGAAAAGGTCTTAAACAATTAATGTTTTATTGACAAATTTAGCACAAAAATATTGGCCGCAGTATTAAAGGTATACCGTTGTACAGTATTTATATGTCATACCTCCCAGCCGTATATTTCCAAGACAATACCTTAAGATGTCATCTCTCTGTATGTGTGTGTGTGTGTGTGTGTGTCACTGTAGCTCCTAAAGCAGATGAAATGCAGTCTGTCCCATTGACCTCTGCAGTAAATTCTGCAGACAGGCTGAACGGTGAATTCCCCAGTAGAACTGAACTCTAAAATAGCCTCCTCAGTATATAAATAATAAAAACTTGTGACTAGATGAAGCTTTTGGCACCAGTATGAAGCTTTTAGGGACTTTATTTTGCTCCTGTTTGTCTTAGGATGTCCTCCTCATTAACGGGAGGTCTTCTAGACGATCACAGAAGTGGAACTGATTGGCATTTTATGAGGAAGTAAAGATGTAAAGCTCAAATTAGGTTTGATTATGTTTGATCTACAGTCGGCCCAACGAGTATTTGGACATCTACGGCATGCTTAAAATTGCATGAATTTTATTGCATTATCACAAAGTCAAGCAATTCAAGTGATATCCGTACATAAATTATGGTACTATTAAGCTGAGTAGACAGTGAAACATCTGTGTATTTAACAAGTATTGCATCTGATCCACTTCATCTGTGATAAAGTATGGCGTCACTATGGGAAGCAGAAAGTGTCCCCTAAATCCAGCCTCAGCTAAAGTCAGTCACACCTATTAAGTATGAGAAATGTGCTTATCACATTATATTATTATTATTATTAAATCATATTTTTGAGAATTCAGTGCCTATTAACCTGTCATTTTTACACAGCTGTCTGAAATGCTTGATTCTAGTTGGTCAGTCGTGGCATTCTGAGGTCAGTTATTCCCCAATATTCCCACTGTATAATGACATTAATCTGGGTATTTGAGGCCGGCTCTTCTTTCACGTCTCACATATCACACCGCAGATGCGCTCTCAAACGCAGCTGGTGCCATCTTGCGCCTCAGTTATCGACTATATTTACTATAAAATGAAACCAAAGGACTTCAGTATTAAAGGGGTCCTTTTATGCTTTTTTTTTTTTTTTACATTTTCAACTTTTTTAGTGTGTAATGTTGCTGTTTGAGCTTGAAAAAGGTCTACAAAGCACAAAGTCACTCAAAAAGCGAGTTATTCTCTATATTTGTGCGCAGTGTTTCTGAACTCCCTGAAACACCTCGACTGTAGCCTTGAGTTTTCTTCCGGGAACGAACACGTTATAAAGGGGCGGGCCTGGTTAGTTAGTTAGTTAGTAGTGTGTTGAAACTCGTGGTTATTGTAGGGGGCGGGACATTTTCAAAATACACGCTCGAAGCGATTAGCCAATCACAACACACTGGTCCAGCCAACCAATCAGAGCACATTGCACTTTTCAGAAGGAGGGGCTTTAGAGAGACTGGAACTAAACAGAGCGTTACTGACAGACTGGGAAGAGAGGAGCTGCAACAATGTCAAATATGTGAAATCATAGTGTTAAACATTCACGCATGAAATCTATGGAGCCTCTAAAGGGACATAGTGATGAAAAAAAAAATATTTCAATGCTTTTGTGTTCTCTCGCAAAAGTTTAGAGTTCCACCTAGAACTCGAATTTTATTTCCTTCACCATACCCCTTTAGGGGCTCTGTAAAAACCTATTCTAGTAGACTCCAAAAACAATATCAGTATATTGGCTGGCATAATAGGTCCCCTTTAATCGAAGGCCTATGGTAATATTGTTGAAGTGTTTGTCTTGTTGCTAGAATGATTGTTTTCCATTACACTGTAATGGATTATATGATAATAAACAGGTGCGATTTTAAAACGATTTCTTCTCAAATCAATATTTCATGTCCCCGTCATTATTTATGAGATAAAAAGCTGTGCATTCACTGATATGACTGTACATTATCCTTTAAATGTCCGTCTTGTTTCAACTTGTTCATTCGTCTAGGCTCAAAGCTGCTTGCTATAGGAACTAGGAACTTGTTTAATAAAGATTTCAGAATTCATTGATTTAAACAAGCATATTTTTGTTTGTACATATTTCTACAGTAAGACAAAAACACCCTAATATTTGATTGCGGCCCGATGGAGGAATCTGTTTTTGAGGGTGGTAAGCGCCCCCTTGAGGAATTGCCACCTAATTGAACCATCTGAATGAATCAGCTCACTAAAATGAACCGGGCTTCCCAACCCACATCTCATTTTTGGAGCCATCCTAAAAATGGCATGAAATGACATGAGCCCTTTTTCCTCAGGTTCAAACTCGTCCAGTGACATCACAGCGATGACATCATCAGGTGGAACAGCTCACAGGGGTTGTTCTCTGTTGTTCTAACTGCATGTTTCTCTGCTCTCGTCTCTCTCTCTCTCTCTCTCTCTCTCTCTCTCTCTCTCTCTCTCTCTCTCTCTCTCTCTCTCTCTCTCTCTCTCTTCCTCTTCATGTCTCTTTCTCCTCTTCCCCCTCCCTCTCGTTCCTTCCTTCTCCCTCTGCGGGTTTGTTTCCCTTCATCAGGTGTCCAAATGACTATACCGGTGAACGCTGTCAAACCTCCGTTATGGCCGGTTTCTACAGTATGTCCATTTCTTCTTCCTGTCTGTCTGTTTGTCTGTCTGTCTGCTCTGAAGCTGCATGTTGGCTATGGTGTGTGTGTGTGCATGTACATGTCTGCCTCTGTTTGCCCATTTTAAGTTTTTATTGGTAGAAGTAGAAATTCATGGATGTGAATGTAGTAATTGTGAATTTAGTATGCATTGATATATTATTAAAGGCAGATTTGGGGAGGAAGAGGATAATTATAATGCAAGTGAAACAATAAAGCATGTTTACATATATATTATGTTCCCATAGAGCAGAATTATATTCAAGAAGAAATTGAGTAATTAGTCCATCAAACTAATTCATGACATTTTTGGCAGGCACTCCTCTTATCATTTAAAGGATTGTTCTGGTTCGATTCAAGTTAAGCTTGTTGACAGCGTCTGTGTCCACAGAAAATGATTTGAACTCCAAAATGTTTTTGACAGTAATGCACTTAAAATGGCACACTGCACCACGATACACATTAAAAAACACACCGAAAAATACACAATTTACAAAGAAAGTATAGCCGCAAGACTTAATAAATATACAATCCTGTTCAAAAGTTTGGGGTTGGTATGATGTTTTTTATTTTTAAGTTCACCAAGGCGCATTTATTTGGTCAAAAATACATTCTCTCGAAATCTCTATTGGAATATACTTTAAAATGTATGTAAAATCTTTCTAATATTCTGATTTGGTCCTCAAGAATTTTTTTTTTTTTTTTTTTTGTGAAAACCATGGATATATCCCAAGATTCTTATCGAATGTTCAAAAGAACAGCATTTTTTTAAACAGATTTTTTTTTAAATCTTTTTACCGTCACTTTTGAACAATTTAATGCAATGAATTTCTGTTCATTTCTATCAACAAAAAAAAAATCTAACTTACCCCAAACTTTGAATGTGTGATACAAAATAACTAAACTTGTCTGTGCAAATCTAAAAGTCATTATTTCATCTTATTTTCTGTCATGACCATGTAAAATCATGCATTCAACCGTTCACATGATACACACAAGAATAACAGAAAGGGTCTGTTTACACCCACAGGAATTACGTTTGTAACCAGTTAACCCACCTAGAACAGTAGTTCCTTGGGTTTACAGCTCCAGTTGACCTTAGTCAAGGTAGATGTTTTATTGAATATAATGTGGATGGAAACAAGGCTGTCATTAGCATCTCCTTATTTTTATGCGCATGCTGGATGGAAATGCCAAGGTGCACATAAATTCTAAAAATGCGCATAAATAACGTATGCTCTCAAATGAGTCAGATTATTTTTTTATCCGATAAGAAGACATGCACATAAACTACAATGGAAACAGATTAACAGAATAAATCCCCTTAATATGCAACAACAAACTTTGGCTCAACAGTGGATGTGATTGGATAACCGGACTAACTAGCGGACCAATCGCATTGCACAGCATCTCAAATGTTGGTTTGGTCATTCTGAAAAGTCTGAGCCAAAGTCTGTCATCAGAATGAGGTTTAATCTCCTCCCAGAAGTGTCTCGCATGATTGCGTTCCCAAACACCAGACATCCGAATGCAAGAGAACATGACAGTGTGTATTGCGTTTCGTCAATGTGGATTCCCTGACTATAGCAACTTCCATTTTCATTACAGATATGTTGCGCAGGAAGTGACGATTTAGTTTATTTGCAATGTTTTATTCACAATTTAAATTCTCATCTTTGGATTGAAACATAGCTAATGTACAGTCAATAGGTTGCAATATATGTAAATTTGTGGGTATTTTTATTGTTTTGTCTACAGAACAATCAAGACAAAGATTCACCACAGCCGTAAAATCCACAGAACACATTACATTGGACATCATATTTGTGTTATCTATAACATACATTTTTGTATGGAAGAATTCGTTTTTTATTATTCATTTTTGTATTAAAAGAAACATGTCATCACATATTTCTGCTTTCAAATCGTATGTACTGTAAGTGCAGTACTGCAAACATGACTTTTGCCAGGTTTTATAAACTGAAAAACAAAAGTTTTATTCTAATTCTGAATATAGGCTTTATTATATCGCATATAGAAAGCTCTCTTTATAATCACTAAAAGCTGTCACTCATCTTCGCAATCTCACAAAGTTCCGTTATAATCAATGAAGCTGACTGCACAATGAATCTCTTATTTACATAATGTCTACACTTTGTTAAAATCAGATGAATTGCGAGCTTGCAGAACTCTGGACAAAAACTCCAGCTTTTGAGCGGCGAGTGGATTCTAACTTAAACACCTCTGATTGGCCATTGCGTTCAAGAAATCAACAGATATGTCTATGATTGGCTTTATTGCTTAAAGGATTAGTTCACATTTAAAAGAACTTTTGCTGATAATTTACTCACCCCCGTGTCACCCAAGATGTCCATGTCTTTCTTTCTTCAGTCGAAAAGAAATGAAGGTTTTTGATGAAAACATTCCAGGATTTTTCTCCATATAATGCACTTTGCTGGGCACCAAACGGTTCAAGGTCCAAAAGACAGTTTCAGTGCAAACTGCAAACTGTTCAAAGGGCTTTAAACGATTCCAGACGATGAATAATGGTCTTATCAAGCGAAACGATCGCTCATTTCAAAAATAAATAACAAAGTTTAAGTTTAATAATGTCAAATGCTCGCCTTGCTCTGTCCTGTGATGCACGTTCGTGACTCTCCTGTTCGAACTCGTTCATCAAAATGAACAAATCTTTTTTCGAGTCATTTGGTTCATTTAACGAACGAAATGAACGAATTGACTCGGAAAAAGATTCGTTCATTTTGAAGAACGAGTTCGAACAGGAGATTCACACAGAACAGAGCAAGGCGAGCATTTGAGCTTATAAAACTTAAACTTTGTTGTTTCTTTTTTAAATGAGCGATCGTTTCGCTTGATAAGACCCTTATTCATCGTCTGGTGTCGTTTAAAGCCATTTGAACAGTTTGCAGTTTGCACTGAAACTGTCTTTTGGACCTTGGACCGTTTGGTGCCCAGCAAAGTGCATTATATGGAGAAAAATCCTGGAATGTTTTCATCAAAAACCTTAATTTCTTTTCGACTGAAGAAAGAAAGACATGGACATCTTGGATGACATGGGGGTGAGTAAATTATCAGCAAAAGTTTTTTTTAAAGTGAACTAATCCTTTAACGCTGCAAAAAAATCTTTGACGTTCTTCAGAGCGCAAACAGATATGCACTGGAGAATTGAGCAAATCTCTTTCACAAATATGCTATCATTACGGAGAAAACTGATCCTAGACCAGCAGTTATGTGCAGCTTTTGCCTCTGAAAGCGATCAGGAGAAGCAGAAGGCAGTGGTTTGAGAGAGAACGTTCCTCAAATCCGTGGCCAGGGCAAGCTAAGCCCACCTATGCCATCAATGAAGAACCTTTAACATCCATGGAACCTGTGCGTTCCACAAAAGGTTCTTTATAATGGAAAAAAGTTCTTTAGAATTTAAACATTTTCTTCACACTAAGAAAAAAAAGGTTCTTTTTAAGAACTGTCGACTGAAAGCTCTTCTGTTGCAAAAACCCCTTTTGAAACTTTCATTCTTCAGAAATTATTTCCACAGGTGCTGTTGGTAAACCTTAACTTGCTTTGAACCTGGAACATTATTATAAAGTCGGTTAAGTAATATTGCTGCTTCTGAGCCTGAGGCATGATGCATGACCTCTAACCTTTGACCTCTGGAACCGCTGCTTTACAAACAGTGGTAGATTGCTAGAGGAGTTCTCTTCTCAGTGTTGCCAGTATCATGCATGCCGTAGGTGTGTTTAGTCATCTGCACATCTGCAGCGGAAGTTGAAAAACAGACACGAAAATGTAATATTGTGACTAAACTAAAGCCATCTGTTTGTCATTTTGCATATAAATCATTAGAAACGACATTATTGTGTCTGCATTCATCTCTCTGTACTTCTTGTGAGTCTCTTTGTGTTGTACATTGTGCTTTTCTGTTTAATGGTTTTGTTTGTTTCTTTGTGTTTGTATTTGTTTTCTTAACCTTAAACCAGAAATGAGGTCTAGTAAATATGGCAGTAAGTGTGGCTGTCTATGTGTCTGCATGCTTTTGTACGCTTGCTTACATGTGATGAACAAGAAAGGCGTGTTGTTTGTTTACTGGTGTTTTTGTTCATTTTGTTTCCATTTTATGGGGAATATGGAGTTGGCCAGTGTGTGTCTGCATTGTCTGTCTGTTACTGGAACGTAAAATCACTCACCTCAGTGTCTCAAAAACAAACCAACCAAACAACACCACTGATCGCATTCTAGTGAAGCGCCTCTATCTGAACAAGTGGACATTTTGACCTGAAACCTGTTTTCTTGTTTTTTCTTTTTTTTACATTGTCAACTTTCTGCATTGGCAGAGCATCTTGGAATTGAAATCATGGGTATGAAGTTATTATTTGTTTGATTCTTTAGATTAGGTTCATGACATAGTTTAAGCATATTCACATAAGAACTCGTCTCGTTCTATTTTCTCTGTCCTATATTTGAACAAGTAAATGCATTCCCAGCTTCTGATTGACTTTTTTTCAGTTCTGACAAAACAACACTCATTTTAGGAATATAAGAATTATGAAACACATCAGGCAGGTAGATCGGTATTTATAGTATAAAACACATATTTCCCATTCTGTGTTAACATGCCAAGTTGTGATATTCCTTGGCAACCTTGATTATTATTATTATTTTTATAAGAAATGTAGCAATTCATTGATCAGTCGTGTGTCTTTTATTAAAACACCATAAGCCACTCAAGGCCAGGCATTACAGTGATTTCACCACAGCCTTCCGTGGCTTATTGCTGTAATAAATTCTCAAATCTAAACACACTATAAACTTGTTAGAGAAATAAGATGTCTAGAATAATCTGTAACTCTCCACTCATAACCAGTGTTTTTGACTTGTTTCCCAGTAAAAAATATCCAAACATAAAGATAAGATTTTTTTTCAAACGTAAATTTAAAAATAATAATAATATTTAAACCTCTTTTTGTTATTGCCAATGGGGTAAGAAAAATCTACTTAAAATAATACAAGTAATTAAGATTTGTTTTATGTTTTTTGAAAGAAGTCTCGAATGCTCACCTAGGCTGCATTTATTTCATATCAAAAATACAGCAAAAAAAAAAAGTTATGTGAAATATTATTGCAATTTAAAATTGCAAAAAAAAAAACTTTCTATTTGAGTATATTTTAAAATGTAATTTATTCCTGTGATGGCAAAGCTGATTTTCCTTCAGAAATCATTCTAATATGCAGATTTGGTGCTTAATTATTAAACATTGCTGATTAATATTTTTGTGTATTTTTATCATTTTTTTCTAGATTATTTGATAAATAGAAAGTTCAGCATCTATTTGAAATGGAAATCTTTTAACAAGCACACAGAACATGTATCCTTGATTTTTCTTTTTTAAGCATATGTTGTGTATAGCTATATGCCTATACATTGCATGAAACCTTATACATTTACTGTGACGTTTGATCAATTTAAAAGAATTAAAAGAATACTGACCCCAAACTTTTAAAATTTAGTCTATCATGGTTTCCACAAAAATATTAAGCTACAAAAATGGTTTTCAACATTGTTAATAAAAATAAATGTTTCTTGATTTCTGAAGGATCATGTGACACTGAAGACGGGAGTATTCAGTTTTTCATCCCATATTTCACAGTATTACTGTTTTTGACTGTATTTAATTTTGTTATAAAGTTTGCTTCTCAAGTTTATTCATTAAGCTTTTTTTTCCTGGAAAACAACTCAAATATACTGATTAAGAACCTGATTTAAAAAAACATTGAGTTTCCATTTTTTTATTTGCATACAACATACGTATCAGGGAGCCGAGTGAGGGGTAAAATGAGTGTTGCCCATCTCTTCTCTGTCTCCTTGTCTGCACCACTATAGAGTACATTAGCCGTTGGTCTGGTCTCTCTCTCTCCGTTTTCTCTTTCTCTCTCTCTCTCTCTCTTTGTGTACTCTGATCTCTGTTTCCTGTAACAAGCATGCAATGCGATATCAGTGTCTGACTCAACCGCCCCCCTCTCCCCCCTGCGTTTCTCTTTTATTACACACTCATCCCTCTACTGTTTGGCCCTCAATTCTCTTCTCTCCTTCCTCCCGTCCGTTTTTTCGTTCCCTCCCTTCATGTTCTGTATGCTTCCTCTGTTGCTGCCCACGTTCAGCACCCCAGAGGATGTTTCGAATATTCTCGTTTTTTCAAAATCAGACCCACAATTATGTGCTCAAGGCATCATATCATATAGACGGTCTTCATAAAACCTGTTCATTTTATCCAAACAATTCTTTGTTTTGCTCTTAAAGTTGGCAAAAAATAGTTTTTCACACTCCAATCAGTTTTAAAGTCAACATGAAATGGTTGACTTTAGGTTGAAATGATATTATTTATTTGTAATGTGGTATGTCAGAGTAAAACAATAAATTGAATGTGTATTATAAAGAGGCAGAGTAAATTATAATGAAATCTCTGTTATACTAACATGATTGTTTTAAAAAAAATAATGTGCACTGATTAATCATTCACAATAAGATCAGGAATCAGGAGCATTACGAGAAGTAAATGGGTCAGTTTTGTTTTCCTGTTTGAATGTAACCGGTTTTATGAACGACCCTCTCTGAAGAGCTCTTCGAGAAAAGCAGTTTGTGTGTTTTAACTCTATTCTACAGGCATGCTTTATGCAAGACTTAAAAAGCTCAGACGTCATAGGATTATATATAGAATAATGCATGCCACGTGCTTTCAGAGGGGCAGAGATTTCATTTTATAAACACTTCTAGGCTAGCCAAAAACTCGAGTTTCCAGTGTTGCACAGGATGGTTTCGGTCCTGAAGGTAGCCAAAAGTTCTCCCACTGTTTCAGCATAATGTGCTTTATGTGAAACCCTGGCAGACAGAGAAAGCACCACAGGTGTGCCCTTCCCATGCTGCCGTGCACCCGATATCGGCCATCGGAAATGTTTTTACAATGACATCTTATGCACCCCAGTACCCCTAAAACATACTGGTTTTAGATTTAAAAGGATTGTTCACCCAAAAAAGACATTATTTACAGGCCCTCGTCACTCTGTATGACTTTCTTTCTTCCGTGAAACACAAAAGGAGATGTTTAGCAGAATGTCCAAGCTGCTTTGTTCCACACAATGGAAGTATTTGGAGACTGGGGCTGACAAGAAGCAGCCTGAAAGCATCATAAAAGTAGCTCATATGTTTTGCGCACTGTTTTCCAAGTATCCTGAAGCCGTACGATGGCTTAGGATGTTGTTATTCGCTGAAAATCTTGCTCGACAGACCAAGTCCCCATTCACTTTTGTTATATGGAACTTATGCTGCCTTCATGTGCTATCAGAAATGTCCCACTTCTGAAGTTGTGATTGCGAGCTTGTCACATTCAAGTGTTTTGTTGGCGGAAAGAACAGGAATCATGGAGGACACCAGGTTTATTCTTGCCTATTTATTTGGGAAATTCTTATTGAAGCCAAACTGATATTTAGCCTAGCTATTCATTGACAACAATATTAACATTCACTGCACTATCAAGATAGTCAGCTTGCTGGCAGTTCTGTAATACCTGTCACAGGCTAATTTTTGCTGTGTATAACACATACAAAATGCTTCAAATGATTATTCAAATATGTAAATATGCACTACTTTAATGAGCTGTTGTGGGGAAAAAAAAACAAATAAAGAATAGCAGTCACAGCAGCAATCGTTCTCCCCTCCGCCATGTTTAAAGTTTATGGCCCGCCCAAAAAAGAAACTCATATTTATGATAATTCCGACAGCACGTAAATCCAGCATTATAGCTTGGACTTTGCTCTTTTAAACATCTCCTTCTTTGTTCCACAGAAGAAAGAAAATAATTCAGGTTTGCAACGACACGAGGGTGAATAAATGATGACAGAATTGACATTTTTGGGTGAACTATCCCTTTAAGTAAATGAGACTGCTTGTAAGTGACAAATATGACTGTTTACTACTGTAAAATGCAATGTAGAAATGGTTCAGTTTGACATGGTTTAAAGGCTGCCACTTATGCAGCGGTTGTGTGTTTTGTATGTATGTGTGTCTTTGTGTTCAATGGCCATTGTGTACATGTGTGTTTGTCTCTGTGTCTACGTCTGTGCATATGCGTGTGCTTGTCCATGGCTCTCGTTCATTCAGAGGCTGAGGAGCTGTACCAAAAACGCGTGCTGACGATAACGGGCATCTGCGTGGCACTGCTGGTGGTTGGCATCGTGTGTGTGGTGGCATACTGCAAAACCAAGTAAGCCCCGGGAACTTTATTGATCGCCAGAAAAGAGCTGTGCACATTCACACATTAAATTAAAAAGCATACCCTTGGGTGAAAGAAGCAAAAATCACGTTATGAGTCATTGTGTATATTGGGGTATAGTATAGTTTTTTTTTTTTTTTTTTTTAAGAAATTAATACTTTTATTCACCATGGATGCATTAAATTGATCAAAAGTGACATTGTGATGTTGCAAACGTTTTCTATTATAAGTAAATGCCTTTCTTTTGAACTTTTTATTCATCAAAGAATCCTGAAAAATGTATGCAATGTATATTTTCAGATTTGGTACTGGATACAAACTAAAGGATAATATTATTCCAATTAGTAAAACAAACATCTATCCATAAAAATCAAAGTATAACTTTTGTACGTTTGACTATAGTGATCAGGAGGTTTGTACATTCTGAACTGTAGATGCGTGGTCATTTCCTGTTTGGAGTATCAGAGTCTGTAGTGGTATAGATCACAGATCAGATTTCATCTTTCTTCAGGAAACAGAGGAAGAAGATGCATAACCACCTGCACCAGAACATGTGTGCGGAGCATCCGAACCGCATGCTAGCCAACGGCCCCAACCATCCTGGCCGTGGCCCTGAGGAAATCCCCATGGTGGATGTGAGTCTGTCTGCATCTCATTTCCTGTATGCTGATATATTCATTGACATATTCTGAGGATTTAGTAATTGAAGGCATGATAATGCACCCATGCTTTTGTATAATGTTGCTTTTAACCTGTAGGCTTTTGGCATGGACCATAAATTTGTGATTTTTTTAGGGCTGTCAAAATAACGCGTTAATTTCGATTAATTAATCTGAGAAGAAATAACGCGTTAAAAAAAATAACGCAGATTAATCCATTGATCCGTTTTGACCTTTGCGGAGCCGTTCTAGCCGTAGCCACCATTCGTGTAAAAAGAAGGAGGGAGACAAGAACGCGCTGCTTGGATCCTTGTTTGGAACATTTACTTATAACAAACGGAGTTCGTCAACTCTAAAGTACCACATCAATGCAAAGCATCCAGGAGTGTGTGCGTGAGTCGGTGAGTGTGTCTGAGAGAAAGCGCGCTTGTGTGTGTGTGTGTGTGTTGTAACTTTTCACGCGCGCTCTCACGTCACACAAGTTACAACCATTTTCTCACGCACAGAGAAATCGCGCACCAAACGGAAACAGACAAGACAGAGCACGTTACTTATGATATTTAAAAAATCTCAGCTCTCAGATTCTGTCAATTTTATTACGAAAATCAAACAATAAATACCGTTTTGGCGCTTGTAAATGTGACATGATGACAGATCCCATAGCGGCACGTGAACCGATCATCTCTAGCTAATAGTAAATAAACACGAATGACCAATGTTGAAAGATAAAGTAGGGCAGCCTAAAACTAACCGAAATGTATATTCCTCGATCAATCAGTGTTTTTCAACCGCGAAAAGAGGTCAATAAAACAGCTGGAGAACAATTATGTCACATAACATTTAGCCTAAGTTACCTCAGGAAAGCCATTTCATGACCATATAGCACGTTATAGTTGGCTATAAAAAAAGAGCTATTTATGTAGCCTACTAGGCTACTATATTACAGTATTATATTTTTACTTATATCAAAGTTGTTATTTGTATTTTTAACCTTAAATACTACCAGCTGATATGGCTCTCTGTATTTTTACAGCATTGGGTGAGATTTTTTTTTTCTTGAGAAAAATGAATGCCTATCTTGTGTACCTATTTATCCAAATGAGTCAATATTGCATCAAATCACAAGAATTAAATTATATTGAAATCGTGGAATTTGTGTCAAGCAATAATAATAAAAACGTAGCTTACCAGAAATTGTACCATGTAAACATTGTAAGATTGTGTATGCGATTAATTTAGATTAATTAATTACAGAGTATGTAATTAATTAGATTAAAAATTTTAATCGATTGACAGCCCTAATTTTTTTATTCCTAATTCCTGTGGTGCTCACATTGATGACGTAAGCGTTCTTCAGATTTGGTTGTGAAAGCAACTCTTTTTATTGCAGTATATATCTAAGAATGTCCCAGCAACTGAACGAGTAGTACGACACGGAACAGAGACATCAGGCAATTTCTCGGGCAGCCGAATGTCGTCACGATCCCACCACACCTCCACAGCCTCTCACGCTTCCAGTCACCGGTACTTACTTTCATTCCTCTGTCAATATATCCATATATTGATGCTTGACATATATTGTCTCAGGCCGTCTGTCTATTCATTTGTTAATTTACCAGCCCAACTAACAAAACAGTGTACAATGTACATCCATTTATTTTTCCATATACATAAAATGTATTCATTAAAGTATATAAATGAATATACACACACGCAAACTGGTGGTCAAAAGTTTAATTTTTTTTGTAAGAAGTCTCTTATGCTCACCAAGGCTGAATTTCTTTGATCAAAAACACAGTAAAAACTGTAATATTGTGAAATATTATTGCAATTTAAAAGAACTGTTTTCAATGTATTCCTGTGATGCAAAGCTGAATTGTCAGCATCATTACTCCAGTCTTCAGTGTCACATGATCCTTCAGAAATCATTCTAATTTGCTGCTCAAGAAACATTTATTATTATCAATGTTGAAAACAGTCGTGCATATATTTATACCCCTTACATATACTTCTCTCACATCTTTTGAACTTCCCTTTTTGCTGCGTGTCAGGCACGAGGAGCGCACATGGAGTATGGAGCGGACGGACAGCATCCACTCTGACTGCCAGTCGGGGGCGCTCTCCTCCTCTGTTGGCACCAGTAAATGCAGCAGCCCGGCGTGTATGGAGGCTCGTGCCCGGCGTGCAGCATACTGTGGTTATCCTGATGCCACACAGTGCCCCCTACAGTACGGAGACTCTTACGACTCTCTGCGGGACTCGCCTCACAGTGACAGGTGAGAGAAAGAGGAAGTACTGTAACGGCAGATAAGAGCTGTTCACCATCACGCATAAAGTCACTGTGCATATTTGAAGTCAAATAAAAGAATGCTGTATGTCCTTTCGGTTAAATCACACAAGGAAGGTCGCAAGGTTCATTTTATCAGCAATTTGATATTTGGTGTTGAACCATAGCACAAGATAAGCAGATCTCAGATAACTTTCAGTGGCAGTAGCTTAACGGTTTGTGACCAACTTTGACATGTTCCTCATCCGTTGCACATGTAGCAGTGGAGTGTAGCAAAGCTCTACTACACTGTTTTTTAGTTTTAGTTTTTTAAAGCCCATTATCTCTAAAGTATCTCTGAAAAGTTAGATTCATTTTCATGAATTGTTTGGGTTGGATGGTTCATGTAAACAGGCTGATTCAGTAAATGATTGCATTTTTGTAGAAAAATGTGTAGCATAAAATAATGTATTATTTGCATTACAGTATTAAATGTTTTCTAGTTTGTTTTGTTTTGGGTTGTTATCTGTTATCAGATTTGATGCTATCATTCTAATTGATTATTCATCTTTATATAAATTATACCATGCTGTAGATGTACACTATCGGTCTATTGTGAAGTTTGAGGTCAGTGAGATTTTTTTAAGTGTTAAAGGGACAGTTCAACAAATAATTTAAATTCTGTCATCATTTAGGCTACTGACCCTCAAGTTATTCCAAAAAACTATTAATTTCTTTCTTCTGCTGAACACAATAGAAGATATTTTGAAGAATGTTGGTAACCAAACAGTTTCTGGTCCCCATTGACTTCCATAGTATATATTTTTTTATTCAATACAAAGTCAATAGGATCCATCAACTGTCTGGTTCCCAACATTCTTCAAAATATCTTCCTTTATGTTCAACAGAAGAAAGAAGTTTGTGCAGGTCTAGAACAACTTGAGGGTGAGTAAATGATGACAGAATATTTGGGTGAACTAACCCTTTAACTCTTTTATTCAGCAAGAATGCATTAAATTGAGCAAAAGTGACAGTAAATGCATTTATGTTACAAAAGGTTTCAATTAAATGCTGTTCATTTAAGTATCAAAGAATCCTGGTTTCAACAAAACACTGGTAATAGTAATAAATGTTTCCTGAAATCAAAAATCAGCATATTAGAATGATTTCTGAAGGATCATGTGACACTGAAGACTGGAGTAATGATGCTGAAAATTCAGCTTTGCATCACAGGAATAAATGACATTTTAAACAAATTAAATAGAAAACGGTTCCTTTCAATAGTAATAATAACGTTTCACAACATTTTTGATCGAATAAATGCAGCCTTGGTGAGCATAAAGCCTGGAACACACCAAGCCGACGCCGACGAACTAGCGCCGATGAAAGCCGACTGTGTTGTCGCCTCTCGTTGCCTCTCATCGGGGTAAAAAGCTGCACTTGAACACACCGAGAGAACTACAGCCGACTGTCAGCTAGAATGCGCGTTCTGCGCCTGCGTGTAAATGAGACAACTGTCTATTTCTGCAGATATATTCTCTATATTCGTCATTCAAAAAGGGGAAACCGACGCTGTCGGCTGCAGATACACAAACCATAAACAAAGCAGTGCGTGCTTACCGTTTTAAATATCAATCCTGCTAAACACTTAATTTATTCCACTCCGCTCGTGTTAATATTGAAATATTCGCCAAGTAACACCCAGGTAAGATGACGTGACATAAGAACAGCCTTCTATCTGTAGAGTTTTGACTTCTTTGCTCGCTGTTTTGCTATTATTCTCGTGCATGACTCTTTCACTAAGCTGAACAGCCAATCAGAGTTCCCTCTTTCACCGACGGCCCGACGCCGATTCAACATGTCGAATCGGCCGAAACAAAGCCGACGAGGACCAATTTCAGCCGACGGCACGGAACCGTGCGGAACACACCGAGGAAACTCAGTCGGCCGACGCACAAAAACTGCCCGACGGCCGACCGTCGGCTTGGTGTGTTCCAGGCTTAAGAGAACAGTAGTGTGTATTTTCCCACCATGTTTTTCTGCATCTTCACAGGTACGTGTCCGCTCTGACCACGCCGGCGCGTCTTTCTCCGGTGGACTTTCACTCCTCACTGCCCCCGCAGGTGCCTACCTTTCAGATCACCACGCCCAACGCCAGCCACGCCCTCTCCCTGCCGCCCGCCGCCGCTGCCGCCGTCGCCATGGACGACGACCAGCCCCTCCTGCACCGCTACCGGCGGTCCCGGCGGCCGTATTACGCGGCGGACAGCACCGGCTCCCTCCCGTCCAGCCCGTACCGCTTCGTGGACGACGAGGATTACGAGACCACGCAGGAGTACATGTCCTCCCGAGAGCAGCAGAAGAAGGGCAGCGGCGGCAGCGGGCGGCACTGGCGCAGGAGGTCGCGGCTCAACGGGCACGTGTCTCAGCGGGCCCCGGACCCCAGGAACTACAGCTCTCAAAGCTGCCTCTCGGACAGCGAGTGGGAGGACGACGAGGTCGGCGACCTCGGACACGGCGAGAGCACGCCGTTTCTCAGTATGCAGAACATGAACGCCACTGAACCGGCCACCATCTACCGACCCAACGACACGCGGACTTTCAGCAACACGGGACGCTCCGGCCCCCGTGGCACCGTGCAGGCCAACAAACTGTCGCAGTCGCGGTCCAGACCGGACAACGCACCCCTTTAAAAAAGAACGACGAGAGCAAGGACAGGGCGTGAAAAACAAACGATATGCTATAGACCTGCACCTATGAGAAATATTTTTTATTTTATATAACAGACAGATATTCTAAACAAATGAAATATTTATTTTCATTTCAGCAAAAATTGTCTACTAGCTAGCAGCAAAGACTTTTTTTATAGGGGGAAAACTATTTATATGTAATTCCTTTTTTTGATTTACAGCATTACGACGAAGAATTACGTGCAGATTTTTTCACGAGTTAGAAATAGAATAATATTGTGGTGCCTTTTGCTGTTTGCCGACGAGGGAGGTTCAGTTGAATTTTTGTAGCCTTTCTTAAAAACAGACTCTTGGGTTTTATAGACATGTTCTTTCTTTGTTCGTTTGTTTCGTTCGTTCAGGATCTCCCCATTTGAACTGTGATATTATTCAGACACCATGCAATATCAAATCACTTCTGTGTAAGGTGTTTGTTTACATGAGTAGGGTTCACACGCGCACATAACCGACATCGCGAGCGCCGTCTGCGTTCGACTTTGGTTTCCGCGTTTCCGTTTGCTTTTCTCTCAACTGGTCGTCGCATATTGTTTCCATGGAAACAGAGGTACGCAGGAGTTCACAGGGCATGGCGCTGGGTCGCAGTATCGGCCCTGGTGTTCAGGGTTTTCAAAACGGTGGTCTGTACGTCCAATGAATGTGTTTACACTTCTGTCCGTGTGCGTGAGAGTATCGTTGAACCTCAGTGTATATGTACGTGTCTTTTGTCTGCGCAGTTTCGTGCAAGAACACGTTCCGTCTGTGCGTTCGCGTTGTGTTCGTCTTCAGGTTAACGTTTCGAGCGCGTGTGCGTGTTGTTGTGAGTGTGTATATACGTATGCTTGTACTCTTTTTAGGATGTTGGCTTTGTCGAAAGGGAGCTCTATTACGTTACCAGGCTAGCGCTAATGGGTTGAACCGGACCCCCTAGTGGTGACACGAGCTCATTGCACTGTAACCTTCCTTCCTTGTGTAGTCATTGGCCTGCGGAGGAACCAATCCAGCCTGATTCTAGCCTACACGGACCTACATCTCTCTCCCACACGTTCCCATTCCTATGCCAGCAGCTTTAAGCCGCACTGTGTCTCAGGACTTTTCATCGAAATCTGCATTACTCATGAAACAGATCCATTCCTGCCCGTCGTGTCTGCGTCATGATGGGAAGACTATGAGGAACGATACGACCAGGTGTGTTTGTCTGCGAACGCTCCATGTTTTGCCGGCTTTTCTTTGTTTTGTTTTTCGGTGGGGTCGTTCCAAGTCCGTGCTGTATGCAAGTCGAAGCTATGCGTGTACGGCTACTAGACGTGCTACTCTAGGTGGTTTATCAAGTGTAAACCCCTCCTTCCAGAGCCCAGCAACCTACAACTACATTTGAGAAGACAAACCCGCCACCCACACACTTCCACTTTGACACACATACACACACACACACACACCCAGACACACACACACACACACACACGCACACATTCTCAAGATTCATTCTGTGCACACAGTCGTTTAAAGCACCACTCGTCTTCACGGATTGATTTTCTTCCTGTTTTACTCTCTCTGTTTCTTCTGTTCTTCCTCTCTGCCTGTGAAGGCGTCCCTCCCTCTGCATGTTCTAGTGGTTCAGATAGATGGGTGCATGGTAACCGCAGCAACTGAGTCGTATTCACACGGTGAAAGTGTAGTTTTCATTTGACATTCAGCAATAAATCTCCTTTTTTTCATGTTCATTCTTGACTTGGAATATGCTAGAAATTTTTGCAAGTTTTCTCAAAAAATAGTACTTGTAAAAAAAAAAAAAAAAAAAAAATCAAACCACTTGTTCATATGGAAAAAAAATAAATCTTAATTCCTACCATTTTAAAAAATGAAGTCATCAGGATGTATGTCTGGTTCTTTTCTCTTTTTTTGTTGCTGAATGATATGTGCCTTTATAATAACATACTGTATTTTTTTTCAGGGGAACAACCAGGGAACTAGACTAACATTTTCCACTGGTGGCACTTTTTCAGTTACTAGCGCAAAACATGATTTGGTCGCACAAATTATTTATATAGTAAGCCGCTCTGGATAATAATGACCAATAGTGAAACTGTATTGCATACAGATGTGCTTTTTATTTTACTCTCCATCTTTTAAAACACATGCCTTCTTGTTTTCTTTAAAAATGGTTGGGATAGATTTACTGCAATAGAAAATACAGTAGCCTACACAATAAAGTGCTAAATTAATTTCTTTTGGATTTCACCATGCTATGGTTGGCACAGATGGGCAGACTTCTGAACTCTTAAGGAAAAGTAAAATAAATATAATATGTCATTGTGAAGCTTCAATGATTCGTGTTTGAATTGTTTTGACGCAGTTACAAATTTGGACAGTCCTGCAATTGAAGGCCCACAGAATTTACAGTAGGGCTGCACGATATTGGTAAAAAAAATGACATTGCGATATTTGATTTTTCTGCGATATATATTGCGATAAAAAAACAATTTCACCAGATGACTTGAATAGCTCTACTTGGAAAGAATGAATCATTCTAGAATGACTCTTGAGTTCAGTGTTGGACAGATCAGTTGTTATTTTAACCATTCATTAAAGTGAATCGGTTCAAAGGAGTCAGTTCGCGAATCGGACGTGTCATTAACGGACCACGGCACACGTTGTGTGGTTATCCAGGCAGTTTAGGACATCGCACAAGATTTGTCTCAACACAGAAAACATTTCATCACCAGATAGATTTTTTGTTTTGTTTATTGAAAGAGTGGTTTATGCCATCTGAATGTGTGGAAAGCTTTTCAGAGAAGATGAGGCAACGTTATTTTAGCACAATTCACAACCAGTGGTAGTTCAGAAAAAAAAAAACTTCGGTCTTCCGACCTTTTACCATCGTGTATTCTCAAAGATATTCAGTCAACTCAATTCATTATTATGAGCGAGGGAGGGAGAGAGAGCGCGCGCGCGACTGGGGCTTTCACTCTCTCTGCTCGTTCTCTCAGTTAAACAAGCGCGAATCCGCGAAGCCAACTTGATGTGTTGAATGCTCAGAGCGCGTTATAAAACGTATTCTTAAAATACACATTTCTGTTTTAATAAATGCTCATAGTAAATCATAGCATATTGCCTAAAACATTAGGTAGGTACAAAAATAATCAAACGGTGATACATTTGCGACCCATTAAAAATTAGGGTCGCAATGGCATTTCAAAAGGTCGCATATGCGACCATTTTGGTCGCAGTGTAGTTCCCTGGGAACAACATTCTTCATTGACAGAACTTTTTAAGGAGTTGCACCAGGGATGCAACCAAATGTTCCATTTTAGAGAGGACTGAAGGTAAAATTTTAACAATTGGCCATTGAAAAACCTATATTGATCAACAACTTATTTTAATATCAGGCCTGGATCATATCATTAGGAGTCATTTGTTCCTTGATATTTAGAGATAAAAGTAGCCTACTATGAAGTCCTCAGCACAAAAAGAGCAATGATAAATAAGTTTTGAAACGGCTGAAATCAGAAGAATGCACTGAACACACACACGGAGGATACTTATATAAAGTTATTGCTGATATTTCGGGAGGAAAAGAAATGCTAGAAAAACAAAATGCTGACACTGTATTTGTAACACTTTTAGGTGAACAATATTTCTTCATTGGATTTAAGGCACAAGCAGTAGCTTTGGGAATCTTTTTCAAATAAAATGTATTTTTTTTTTTTTTATAAATTATGTTTCAAACATAAAGCCTGAACTAGTTATATAACTACGTATATAGCAGTTACATAATATTTTATTTAAATAAAATGTCAGTGCTTTCAGTGCTTACTAACTTACATTACTGATTAGATGTTAAAAATACATATGTGTATATATATATATAGAACAAAGCAAGAGAGAAACTCAAAGTTCTGGTTTAAGACTTTAAATTCAATTAAAAAAAATATCCATTACTTATTAATTTATTCAAATTTGCACTGCAGATGTTCTTCCTCTGTATTTTTGTCTTGTTTTCCAGTGAAAGATTCTTAAATCAATATGCATTTACTGGATATACAAAATAACATAAAATATGAAGTCTGTGAAATTAATCAAAATGAAGTGTATTTATGCTTAAAACAAGAACAAATATCTGCCAATGTGCTCAGAAAAATCAACTTAATTCAAATGGAAGTTTTCATAACTCATTGACAGATGTTTGTTCTTTGTAAGCATAAACTAAACACATAATTTTGTTTCATTTTTCGATACGTTTGCATCTTAAGTAAATGTATCGTTATTCAAAGATATTTAGGTACTTGTGTTGAAAAACAGGACAAATATACGGAGGAAGATATTCATTTTTGCAATGCATCCAACATTTAATGCCACGACTTTATGAATTTAAGACTTTCTGCTCTGATTTAAGAGGTCTTAATTTGTGTAAGGGTGAATAAGGCTTTTGAAGACCTACAGAAACCCTGACTGACCTCCACTCAACCAGCTCAACTTGTTCGACCAAGACTGTCAAAGATAATTTATCAAAATATGTTTGGTATGTAACACATTTATCAACAAGCAGCCTGAAGACAACCAGTATGGGTGAGTTTCCTATAGAAGAAGAGAGCGTTTTACTCATGAATGTTTCCATACAGAAGGTCTGGTGAGCTCACACTAATTTTATCAGCACACTGATGAAAAGCATTCTAGATTCTAATCAAAATGAATGATATTGATATTGTTTTGTAATGCAGAAATCATCAGATCTGTGAAACAATAGGCCATGCAATTTATGTCAACTCGCAACACTTGTCAAACAACATCAAGCATTGTGTACATTAAACCACAACACACAAAACCGGCTGTCAAATGAGTCAGAGAACTCTTGTCTGCAAAAAACTCTGATACATATAGGGTGGAAATCATCTGTGTGTTTACATATTATAATAATTAATAGGGGGTTACAGGGCTTGGTGTCACGAGTGAAGGTTGCTATATTTAAAAAAAAAAAAGATAAAAAAAAAAAAAAGGGTTTTAAACTTAACTTTAAACTACCTTAAACTAACGTTGAGGTCAGAACAATTAATGAAGATATTTGTTTATTTATTTTTACGAAATGTCATGTTGGCTGTTGTCCATGGTTCCACCTGTTCCATAGTTTTTAGGTAGCCTACTCAAGACTTTAAGGTTTGTGTCTATAGAATTTGACTTTTAAAAATAAGAGAAACATTCTTGAGTGAAAAGTGTGACAACTAACCCCTGGCCTCTTTATCTGTTTTCCTTCACCGAGTATCGTGGGCGTGGCCTCACACAAGCACACACCTGAGATCACTTCACGCGCTCAGCAGGACTCGAGACACTGGGAAATGTACCTTGGTTCTTGGTTTGTTTGGTTCTTTGAAGGTTTCACTCGATCACTATAATATCCTTTTCTTTTATCTTTCGCATACATTATTTACATTACGAGTAGGGCCTATTATTGTTTGAATTCACCATCAAACGACGCCCAGTTCATCATCAAAAACATAACCAAAAGAACGTGGTAAGTCTAAAGTCTAAATATTAGTAGTTTAAAAGTAACTGCTGCTTTATTTTCGTTTCGTTGTTGGAACAATAAAATGATCAAAAAGACAGAAATAAAAAACGGTAGTGTGTTTTTATGGAGCAGCACAAGTGGGAAATTAAGTTAAACCTGCAGTCTCATCATATGAGTTTTTTCTGTTCAAATTTTTATTTTTTTGTTTTATTTTACATTTAATTATTTTTTAAAACTTAAATTCGTTTTAATAAAATAAACATATAATTATGTGTTAAAATAAAAATCAATTTAGAATAAAACAGTTTATTGTAATATATATATATATATATATATATCCTACATTATAGGCTTCTACACTTTATGATAAATAATTGTATTCTGTAAATTTATACTTTATAATGAAATGATTTTATATCTAAATTATATACCCTTACAAAAATGTACCGTGATATTAGTTTCAGCCAAAATACCATATTTACTAAAGTTATTGTTTCTAGAACCAGTGGCGGACCCAGGATATTTTCATAGGGATGGCCAGGCAGGGGCCAGTAACCAGTCTAGGGTAGGGCGGCTCCGGAAATTTTCAACATAAAAATTAGTTTGACTACAAAGTATTGGACTCTTTTAACACAACTGAATACAATTAATAAGTACTCAATTGTAATTGAGATGGTGGTGATAGTAATACTGAATGAATTTGACCATTTTTGTCTTACTCCTCACCTCCGGGTATTAAGAGAAAAGAAGCTTGCACTGCAGCTAAAGTTCAATTTGCTCAGACAGCTTGGTTTTGGTTCTTAAACCCCCCCAAAAGCTTGTTCTCCTTCATTGCATCCTCGTGGATTAGACATGCTGATAACTACATACAGTAGTCAACCTTTGAATTTTATATGAATTCTTCAACAATTCTCAGTTATGAGATATGTTGCAAAAACTTGCAACAGAAAAAGAAAACATTGTGTGTTTAACATTCTATTAGTTGTCAAAATACATCTGCGGAAGCAGGCAGCAAAAAAAAAAGCCAGAATGTAAATTATTGTATGCACATATAAATGTGATCTATTTTCATTTGTCCTTTACCAGCACAAAATTGGCGCATATTTCCTTGTACAAATGCAGTGCTCACATTTATTGTGCATTAAAATTAAATATAAAAATACATATCAATTTGTGACTCATTGTGCTCTTACATTGCAGTATATTTGCATTTGAGAGACATGTTCTTAAATGTGATGGAGATGTAACATAACATACATGGAACATTTTTATGCTGCTTAAATCACCTCCACATTTTATCATGTTGTATTAAAGGCAGGGTAGGCGATTTGTTCCAGAATTTTGTTTTGTTATGCTGGTTAAAAGTTTCTTCACATCCTGACAGCAAGTTAAGTGGTCTAAATGGATTTATATTTATATATAATTTGTCTGTGAAAGGCGTAGGACCATACAATGTTCGTTCAATCATTGAATGCTTGTCAACTTATGTATTTCCATACCTCCGCGTACACTGCTCGCGCAGACATTAAACGTCATCAGCGCGTTCTATGCAGAGTTAAGCAGAAAGTATACTTCGTTTTCTTTACGTGACAAACACACAGCCTTGCAAAGTATACTTCTTTGACTCGTACGCGTACACAGGCATCTGACGCATCCTCACTTTTGAACAATCTCTCGCCACGAGTTACAACCAATGTTCCCTCTAAGCTGCGCGCGTGCGCGGCCGCGCACTTCTGATGCCTCGGCCGCGCACTTCTAAGCGGCGGCCGCGCAGAAAAGAATAAAATGACACACAGAGGACTGACGCGAAACGTGTGGGGAAATCCATTTGATTGTAGTTTAAGTGAGAAATAATTTCAGTGCTCTGGTCAACCGCTATAGAGTGAAAACTGGTGAATGCAGTTTACAAATTTTTTTCTTGAAAATATTTAGCTATTAGATCTATTTAAATGCTTTGTTTTCCTAATAATATAATATGTTAACAAATTTAAGCATTTAAACTGATATATTATATCACTTCAAATACTTCAATTCGTTTTTTTTTATATATATTATATTATGCCTATATTTTATTATATTATAAGCCTAAATAAAGAATCTCACAAGGGTATTGTTTAGGGCTCCTTGCCATTGAAAAGTTTTAAACCCCCTGCTAAAGAAAATATTGGAAATTCATAAGCAATAAACAATCATTTAACTTTGATGGTTTAATGCTTCCTGTACACAATTAATTGACAGTCAAAAACACTTTATGGTTTTCCCAAACCATCTCGGTGTAACAGCTTACTTTTCTTGTATACTATATTCTATTATTGTAAAGAATTGAACTGTCCTGCAGAAGATTTTGTAAATTATTTTTCATAGGATTTCTTGGTAAAGACTGTACAGTTAACAGCACTGTAAAAAATATCAGGTAACCTAAAATGTGCTTCATTTAGTGACTTCTTAATTTGTTAAGAAGCTTGTTTTTCGAAAATATGATTTAATACCAATAAGTTACATCAAGGGTCAAATAAAATAGAAATGGCACATTCAAGTTAAAAGTTACAACTGAATGTTGAAACCATTGTGTTTCTACATGCTGTACAGGTCAGGTGGTATAAAGAATATTTTTGCTCAGGTGGCGAAAAATGTCCGCCCAATAGAAAAAAGTTTTGCTCAGCAAGAAAAAAAATTAGAGGGAACATTGGTTACAACCCATGTAAATATCTTTGTATTCTTTCATGCTTATTTGAGTTGTACAAAAAAGGGTACTTTCTAAGTCCCTTTCACACAGAGATTCCAGAAAATACACGGATAAAGTGACCTGGGATTTGACCTGGGTTCGTTTGATTTTGGTTCATTCACACTGCCAGTGAATTTCCGGAATCAGAGAGTGCGTTCACACACAACCCGTAAAGACGTCGATGTGACATGTAATGTCTCAGCAGCGTCTTAAGTTTGCTTATGAACTGTGATTTCTCTCTCTCGAGAAACCACACTTGTGCATTTTTTTCTCTGATTCGATCATAAACTAGTGCATTACGAACCGTTACACTAGCCGGCTTTCGCTTCACGCGTCATCATTACGACATGGCATTGATTACGGCTTTTGTTCACACAGTGCGCGTTCCGGGACTGAACACGGCAATGTTACTAGGTCCCCAACCCGGCATTGCGTTCACACAGAAGGCGTTCTGGCAACTTCCCGGCAATTTTCCAGGATCAACGCGCTGTGTGAAAGGGGCTATTGATATATCACAAATTTGATGGTCTGTTTAACTTTAAATGTTCTTTTCCTCAGTATATGGCTTCATGTCTGTGTCGATACCGCTGGAGGATCCTGTTCTTCTGTTCGCCGTGCATACTGCTGCTCCCAGTCTACATCTATGTCTCGATTTCTCTGATCTATGTCATGACACACGGTGCACATGGTTCTCATCCTGTGCTGCAGAAACACTTTACTGCCAGTGGTCTCAAATTCTCCAGAGATCTGGCTCCCCATCCTGTGAAATCCTTCTGGAGAAGCGAGCTAAACAGTGGAGCACTATGGAACATCATCCAGTATATGATAGATTCCCAGCATAACCCCATCCTAAATCCTCATCTGGCTGCAAACCCACCCAGTATTTCTTACAAAACAGAAAGGTCCAGAAGAAGTGGGAATGGATGTTCTCCAGATTATGAGATTAACATGCCAGATTTCTTCTCTCTACCAACGCAGATGAAAGATTTTGTGACCAGCATGCACTGTCGAGAATATCCGTTGATAATAGATCCTTTAGATGTTTGTGATGGTGGTCCGCTAGCAAAGAATCGGGCACCAACGTTGCTCCTGGCCATCAAAACTCAGCCTGTGGATTTCCTGAACAGAGAAGCGATTAGAGAAACTTGGGGGCGTTCAGGAAGAATAAAAAGCCGAGGTGGGCAGCAAAGGCTTGTTCGTAGGGTCTTCCTTCTGGGGAAGTCCAAAGACTTGCATATTGAAGAGAAATTGCAATTAGAGAGTGATAAATATGGTGACATCATCCAATGGGAATTCATGGACACGTTATTTAACCTCACCCTGAAGGATGTGCTGTTCTGGGACTGGTTCTCAAGGCGATGCCCACATGCCCGTTTCATTTTTAAAGGTGATGATGATATCTTTGTGAGGACACCTGCTCTCCTAGACTATCTGCTGGCCGAGGAGGCAAATGAAAGCTTCTCAAATGGATCCAGGCAGCCAAATAAAATGGAGACGTTTGTTGTGGGGGACGTGATAAACAATGCAGCACCTATGCGCTCTAATGGGAGTAAGTACTACATTCCAGAGAGCTTCTTTAAAGGGACTTACTCATCATATCCTGGTGGAGGGGGGGTGGTTTACTCTGGTTCTCTGGCCCATAGGCTTTTGGAGGTGTCACAAAAGGTTCACCTGTTCCCCATTGATGATGTCTACCTGGGCATGTGTCTTCAGAGACTGGGAGTGTACCCTATCCACCACCCTGCCTTCCTCACCTTTGACTTCCCCAAGGATAAGCCCAAGGGACCCTGTGCGAATCACACCATCCTCCTGGTGCACAAGCGTAGCCCAGCTGAGATGTTCCAACTTTGGACCGAAACGTCGATGCCCAGTTCTGAATGCAGAAATGTAACTCTGAGAGTCGAAACTAGAGTTGAGTTCAGATGACAGAAGCCAGATCTCAACAGGTTTTTTTTTACACTTGAACAACTAATGTTATGCATTGAATGGTCTTTTGTATAAACTTTTGTAATTTTGAATCTTTTTAACACATTTAAGTTGTGATAAAACAGAAGTAGTGGCAGATCTTTTCTTCCATATTATGCCGTGAAGATAATTTTGCATTTCATTGGAAGATCAAGTTTTTGCTGAATGATATGTGTCTTTAAAATAACATATTTTCAGGGGAAAGAACAACATTCTTCATTGACAGAACTTTTTAAGGAGTTGCACCAGGGATGCAACCAAATGTTCAATTTTAGAGAGGACTGAAGGTAAAATTTTAACAATTGGCCATTGGAAAAACCTATATTGATCAACAACTTATTTTAATATCAGAGATTATGAGTCCTCTTCTGTGTCTGTTTGGTTACAGGCCTGGATGATATCATGAGGAGTCATTTGTTCCTTGATATTTGGAGATAAAAGTGCTTGGAAAGTACTATAAAGCCCAAAAAGAGCAATGAAAATAATTTGCAAAAACTTTTGAAGTCAGATGAATGCACTGAACACATACACAGAGGATACTTGCATAAAGTTATTGCTGATATTTCGGAGGAAAATAAGTATGTCTAGAAAACATCTCGGTTACTCATCTAACCTCGATTCCCTATAAGATAACAGGAACAACTCCTGGGGGGACTCATGTTTCTCTGAAATACTGAAGCCGGGTTAAATCACATCTGTGCACTTGCACAGACAAATGGCATTTCAGCCCACCAGGCCCGTCTGCCTATATAAGTCAGTGATGAATGCATTTCATCAGAATCTTTCGACAGAGGAGTAGCAAGCATTAGGGGCAGTCATGGCCTAATGGTTAGAGAGTCAGACTGGTAACCCGAAGTTTGCGGGTTCAACAGTAAAATGGCTGCTCACTGCTCCGGGTGTGGGTGTCCACTATTTGTAGTGTGTGTATGTTCAGGGTGACTGCTCCTAATGTTTGTGCACCAACTTGGATGGGTTGAATGACAAATTCTGAGTATGGGTCTCCATAGTTGGCCTTTACATGTCATTTTCAGTTTCACTTTTTAAGCATAGAATCATGTGCAAGAGCACGACCAGCTACGCATTGCTCCTGAACCAAGGTTCCCTTCGATATGGTTCACTCGCATTGCGTCAGTTGCTAAAGCTTTGGGGAACGCAATCCAATATCTCCGTGCTACAAATGCAGAACGGAAGCCCATCCTGTGAGCCCAGCCCTAGGGCACTCAAGTCCAGGCCTCTAAAGAGGGGTTTCATGGACAATACTAGGGTGAAAAAAACCCAGGGCAAGGCAAGAAATTACTCACAATAGCTAGGCTCAGGCCATGAGGCCAAAGCCCTTGGGGCATGCCCAGTATGGGGCATAATGCCCTACGCAGACTAAACCCCACAGAGGTCCTAGACTGGCTTAAGCAGACAGGATCTGTGCCTGAAGGGCAGAGAAGTCCAAGTTATAGAACCTGGCAAAGACGGCGAGGACCATTCAATCATCACACAGATGTCAAGAATGGACACTGAAGAATGGACCATGCTAAGCCCAAGGAGGCGTAAGCCAGTGCCATTGTGTCCACTATCCAACAAGATTAGTGTGTCGTCCGAAGCACACAAAAAGCTGTTTGATTGTCAGAAATGGCTAGAGAGCTCAACATATACTCTGAGAGCCCAGACTGGGCAGAGTATGTATAAGGACTGCTCATCTTGCAAAGAGGAGAGAGCAGAGTGAATAATGACCTGTGCTCTGAACAGAGTGGAGAGCACTTAAGGTACATAGCCATGCTTCAGCTTGCAGTTTGGCCCAAACTTAAGGCAGGATGTACTCACCAAGAGCGCCTGCAAGTCACTTACTCGATTGACCAGTGCTAAAGCCAGAAATGGGGCAGTCGTCATCAAAAGGGGCCGCAGCTTAGCAGCTCGAAATGGAGGGCATCAAAGGGCGTTGAGGACTGTGGACAAATCCCAGGTCGGAACCGAATGGGATCGAGGCAGATTCAGCTTTTTGGCCCCCTTTAGGAACCTCACTATCAAGTTATTCCTACCCACTGACTAGGCCGTTGTCTTTGTAGCATACAGAGCGAGGTCGGTTGCGCTGCGCACCTCCTTGAAGGCAGCAGGGGCTGGGCCATACTCATCCATAGAGCGGAGGAGTTTGGCTTAGAACACTTGAAGGACAGGCATGTGGAGAGTGGATCCAGCTTCACCAGCCGCAGAGTATGCTCTGGTCTCTAAGGCAAACATAGTCCTGAACGGCTTAGATGGTTGAACAGCCTTAGCTCTCCATCCAATTCCCTCAGCCTTTTTACTTCAGCGAATTTACCTTTCCTCTGTGGTGAGGGTGGGCAAAGCAGAAGAGTGAACACGGGCAGAGTAGGGGGCATGCCACGATCTGGTAAGTTCATCATGAACTTCTGGAAATAATGGGGCAGGTCAGTGGCTGGGGAATCGCTGGCAACATCCCGGCTGCAGGAATTACTCGTCATGGCAGTTGTGGGCAGGCTCTTCACTCTCCCTACAGTTAGGGGATTTCCTGGTGGTCTTCTCCTATGAAAAGTGCTCATCAAAGGGGTGCAGGGAAGCACTGCATGCGCCACACTTATGACCCGGCATTTTGACAAACAAACAAAAAACGCCGCTGGAATAAGCTCTTTAAGGGGCTGTTCACATATCGTGTCTTTTGCAAGCTCAAGTTCGTTATTTCAAATGTAGGCGTGCGGCAAGAGCGCTCATAATGGAAGCGACGTGGTTTTCCAGGTGCAGCGAGATGAAAAAATCTCAACTTTTTAGAGTGTCGCAAGCATACATACCACAGGTCATGTGGCAAGAACCAAGCAATCAGCTTCACCCTTTCTGTAACAGATTGAAAGCTCAGTCAACATGAAGGATGGGGAGCACCCATATTTTTTTCTCTTCTCCATAAATAAATCTTGTAGCAGTGCTACAGCAAGCGTTTTTTGGTGGTGGAAATTCCATTACTGGAACTTCCTTGTCGTTGTGGAGATCGCAGTTCATGGTTGCATAGCAACGAAAGACGTCACGGGAGCACAAGGGTTTTGGGACGAATGAGACAGCGGTGCAGCCACGCCTTCCACATGTTTTTAGATGTGATGTGAAGACGTGAAATTTCCTCAATCAGATTCCACTGATTGTAGCATACCGCGCTCCTACATTTGAAATAACGAACTTGAGCATGCAAAAGACGCGATATGTGAGCAGGCCCTAAGGCTTCTTTCTTTGTATTCTTCGTGTGACCTTCCCGCTTGAAGGAGAAAGATTCTGATGAAATGCCATTCAGCGCAGACTAACTATCGGCAGATGTGCCTGTTTTGGCGGGCTAAAATGCCATTTGTGATTCAATCAGGCTTAAGTATTAAGGAGAAACAGGAGTTCTGTTAGCAGGGTTTTTGCAGGTTTTATGAAGGTAAATTTAAGACTTTAAATTAAAAACCCTTTTAAGACCAAGTAAAGATAATTTAAGGAATAAGTTATAAATATATTCTCTATATAGATGTATAGGGAGAACCATAATTGCCTAGTCCCAGACTAAAATGCATGTTTGAGCTGTTTTAACTGAAAGCACTGACATATCTTAAATTATGGCAGTGCCATTGTTTTGTCTCAAGTACACCAGTAATGTTTTTTTTCTAAGGCAAGTTTATAAAAGCTATACCTAAATGTCCTCATTGAACTAAGGCCTAATACTGGCTTAATCTAAGCTCTGTCTGTGAAACCCGGCCAATGAGTACAACACATCAACATTTTAAAATACAACTTCCAACAAATATCCATTACTTATTCATTCACATTCCCACTGCCAAAAAGGGATGTTCTTCCTCTGTATTTTTGTCTTGAGAAAAAATAACTTAATTCAAAGCAGTTTTTATAACTCGTTGACTTTGTTCTTGTTTTAAGCATAACCTAAACTCATCTAATTTTGTAACATTTTTCAAGACATAATTTTACATTTGCACCTCAGGTAAATGTATAAAGATCTTTGAATCAAGATATATCTTGATTTAAAGATGTTTGAATAATTGTATTGAAAAACAGGACAAAAATTCTGAGCAAGGCATTCTGACTTTCTGTTCTGATTTTGAAGACCCACAAAAACCCATTCAACCAGCTCAACTTGTTTGACCAAGACTCTGTCGTGGAGTAGTTATTTTTTGTGTTGATATCGTCTAAATATGTTTGGGTATGTATCACATTTATCAATAAGCAGCCTGAAGACAACTAGTATTTGTGGGCAAGTTTCTCGAGAAAAGATGAGAACGTTTTACTCATGATTGGTTCCATACAGAAGGTCTGGATAGCAGCTCATAGCCTCATAATTTTATCGTCACTGATGAAAAGCATATTTCTTCTGAATTCTAATCAACATAAATGATATGGTTTATATAATTTTGTAATAAAGAAATCATCTGGGCTGCGTTTCCCAAAAGCATCGTAAGCCTAATTTGATCGCAGGCAATTGGTGGCAATTGTTCAACGATCAATTTAGGCTTACGATGCTTTTGGGAAACGCAGCCTCGATCTGTGAAACAATTCATGTCAACTCGCAACACTTGTCAAACAACATCAAGCATTATGTACATTAAACTACAACATACAAAAACAGCTGTCAAATGAGCCAAGAGAACTCTTGTCTGCAATAAAATCTGAGACAGGGTGGGGTCATGTGTGTTTATAGCCTATAGGCTACAATAATCAATAGGGGATTGCATGGGAGGTTGCTATCTAAAAATACATAAATAAATAAAGGTTTTAAATTAAACTAAAAAAATTTGAGGTCAAAACTACAATTAATGACCATATTTATTTATTTTTAAGAAATCTCATGTTGGCTGTTGTCCATGGTTGCACCTGTTCAATAGTTTTTATACCCAAGACTTTAAGGTTTGTGTCTATAGAATTTGACTTTTAAAAATATGAGAAATATACTAGTGAAAAGTGTGACAACTAACCCCTGGCCTGTTTCTGTTATCTTTTATGCAACTGTATCGTGGGCGTGGCCTCACACACGCACACACCTGAGATCACTTCACGCGCTCAGCAGGACTCGAGACACTGGGAAATGTACCTTATTTCTTGGTTTGGTTGGTTATAGACGTTTTCACTTGATCCATGTAATATCCTTTTCTTTTATTTTCCGTATACATTATTTGT